AAGCTCCACTTCACAACAGTCACGTTTGATCTGTAACGAGACGATCGCGCTCGCTCGCATGTGTGTGTGTGTTTGTGAGACAAGAGTGAAGGACGGTGACGGAGGGCAGGAGGGGTTCTGGACCCCGGGGGAGGGGGGGAGGAAGTGACGCCACACGAACACAGCTGTTCACTGCTTGCTGCCTGGTTCTTGTGTTAAAAATGTCGCTTAATAATAAATAAATAAAAAACTGCGTTAACGCTCGTTAATATAATTGTCGGCGTTAATTAATTAATGCATGAACACGATAATAACACGTTAACTTGCCCAGCACTAATTTATATTTATGAACTGTTTTCGGGATTACAGCCTGATGTGATTATTTATATAAAAATGATTCATTCAAGTTATTGAATGTTCTGATCAGGTCATCTACATTACCACTAGTTACAGTTATAAACACTAATATTTTGTTAGTTGGTATATCTGCTTCCATTAGATGATAAATAACTAATGATGCTCATTAGGATGCATGTTTTCACTCTGCATGTGTTGTATAGACATGGTCTGATGGTGTGCCCAATCTGTTGTAGGTGCGGTAGTACCATGAAGGGTGGAGGAAGGGGCAAGGAGCCACCTGTTGCAGGGGAGGTCACTGGCAAGCGCCCCAAACGCAAGTGCCTGCAGTGGCACCCACTTCTCTCCAAAAAGGCTCTGGATTTCTCTGAGGAGGAAGAAGAGGAGGATGAAGAGGAGCTGGAGAAGGTGAGTGTAGTTCATGGCTTGACATGTAATCACCTCCGTCCACGCACTGAACAATAGATTGGTCAGTTTATCACACTGATTGGACAGAAAACAATCTGATGGTTTCTGAACTTGTTCTCAGCAGCCAGGGCTGTGTGGCCAGGACCAGGAGTCCCAGGTGCAGTGTGGCAGCACAACAGAGGAAGTGGAGGAGGACTCGAGTGAACAGCGAGCACGACGGCCGATGAATGCTTTCCTCCTCTTCTGCAAACGCCACCGCTCCCTGGTGCGGCAGGAACACCCGCGCTTGGATAACCGCGGGGCCACCAAGATCCTGGCTGACTGGTGGGCTGTGCTGGAGCCCAAAGAGAAGCAGAAATACACTGACATGGCCAAGGAGGTGACTCATGCACCTGCACTAACTTTATTTCTAACCATCCTGACAGTTGCGCCAAAGTCACTTTATAGTTTAGAACATTATTTGGTGAAATATTACTAACATGACTATAATGAAATACTTTGATTTTGATTTGACTTGATGATATGATACCAGGGGCTTCAAGGTTTCGCTTGTAATCAAATCTATTCTGTCCTTTCAGTACAAGGATGCCTTTATGAAGGCAAACCCGGGCTACAAGTGGTGTCCCACCACCAGCAAACCAGTTAACAGCCCTTCCTGTCAGCCAGTCGGCAACCCCCGCAAAAAAGTTTGGTCCTTCTCTTCCAACTCATCCAAGGACTCCTCCACTGCCAAAAAAGTGCCCAAAACTGACAGCATGCCACAGTTAAACTTTGCCATGGCAGGTGTGTATAATATAACACTGTGTGCTTGTGGACTATATGACAAAATGTTGGATTGTTTTTGTAACTACTGTCATTGTCAGATCCTACAAAGATGGGAGGCCTTAGCATGCTGCTGTTAGCTGGGGAACACGCCCTCACAAACAGAGAGGTAGGTCACTGCTGGAGGCCACCCATGGGTGCATCCTTGTCATGAACCAGCTCTACTATCAAACTAATTACTGATGCTGGTTTCATCAGTATTTTATACAATATACTTTTTAATATTCAATTCCCTTTTTGTTTGGCAGACCAACTAATATGGTATTGTTTACCTCTCTAGATCCCTTCCAGCACTAAACCTAGTTTACCTGACACAGCCAACAAAAGGAACTCCTGTCCAGGGGATGAGGAAGAGGTTTGTTCTGAGACTTTACTTTTTACACCAGATACTGGAGGTTGTGTTGTCTCTCTAAAGTAGGTCGCTGATGTGGTCTGACTAGACATCAGTGACCTGCTCTAGTGC